CCGGATACAATACTTATTTTCAAAAGTATCGATAAATTTCTTCCACCAGTGGCACCTAAACAGTCATTCATCTAAAGTGCAGATTAGAGGAAAATGCACTTTCTGAGCACTGTGTGATTGAATAATTCTGTGCACTTTTCAGTTCCAGACTTTTTCTGTAACAGGTGCAGCTGCTGAGAATTAATTTGTTTTTTAACTGGTTTGGCTAGTGTCATTGTTATGTATGTAAAGCATAGCCAAGGAAGGAACACTTAAGTTTATTTTGTTAGTTTTTTATCAAGCTTGCTTAATATTGTGCACAGAATACAACCTCAAATTATTGTTCTTATTATTTACTGTATTTATTATTTTTTTTTGTTGTATTTTATTTATTAATGAAAATATTTTACACTTTTGTAAACAAAATGACAAATAAAATCTGTCTAAGATCACTTCAAAGCAGGAAGAAGGAGAAGGGAAGTCCACTATTTCAGAATGATAAACTTCACTGAGCATTGGCATTGGCAGAGAAACTGGCAAGTTGATTAAAATTCAACAGGAAAACAGATCAAAAATAGGAAAATACTAAATACAAACTATGTTGATGTGAAGATGTAACATACGGCAGAATGGGTTGTTGACTGTTTCAGAAACTCTTTAATTTTGGGCAAAAGTCTTTCGAAGAATCTGCCAAGGCTCAGCCACCTGACGTCGGTGTGCAGCAGCAGATCAGTGTGGTCTGCACCTGCCTCCTCGAGCTGTGCACGGAATAAATGCCTCTGAAAACTCCTGGCCTGAACAGAGCAAGCGATCTTCATCGCAACGTCCATGAGATGCTTCATATTTAAAATACAGCCGCACAGCTGTTGTTGATGAATGATGCAGCGGTAGCTCCAAAAATCCTTGAAAGTTTCAGACAGCTTGAACAGAGCACCGAATCCAGCAGTGCACCCAACCATAGATGGAGCCCCATCAGTTGTGATAGATGTCATTATCTCATTATCTCTTCAGATTCCTCTTCACGCTTTAGAGTCCCTGGTGTTGTGATTCTATAGTTAAATTCTATTCCCAGCCCGCTGGGAATTTATGTTTCTGATACTTTAAGATGTTTATTGCCCTCCCCTGTAGGGGTGGTAAAATATCTTATTTAATCAGATATTATTTCAGCTGTTATATACTGTTTATGACACACAGTCCTACTAACTGTGTGTTAGAACAATAAATAAAAGAGTGATTCGAGCACTAATCATGGTCAAACAGTTATTTCCGCACATACATGGAATAAATTCACCACAACTTCTGTTCAAAATATAAGATTTTATTAACAAAATTCATTCAGCTCCAAGTCAAACGTATTTCAGTTTAACACTCTCAACTAAGACTAGTAAAACTCAACTAAACTAAACTAACGACTATGTACAAAGAGGAAGGGGAAAACGGTTGAAAAACATATTAAAGTTAAAGATGGATTCTGTGTTGGAAACCAAAGTTTATCTGGAATAATTTGGGATATGATCAAATTAGCTTTTCACTAATTTTAAGGACATTGGAATGTTTTCAGACCAATTCACAATGCAAATCCATGAGGTGAATAAAACATTATTTGGCCAAATAATGTCCTATTAAATGATTTGCTTAATCAAGAACCAAAAACCTTTAGCTAAATGATTCTTTACCCTCTTTGAAATAGCTAGCAGCGAATAGACATCAGGATTCCACTAAATGACTCTTGGTCATACTTGGTAATGGAAATGTAATGAGCATCTGAGAAACACATGAACACTAATGTTATATCAGTGTTTAAATCCTTAGTGAATAAAGCTTGTCTAAGCTTTAGCAACAGCTCAACACATATTCCTGTAGCATAGCGTAGCATGCAGTCTATTCTTTAGCATCAATTAGCGTTGTCTTTACTGAGCAGTAAACACACGATATGATTAGCATCATCAAAAGACACATTGCTTGTTCTGTCCCTAATCATGCCAGACCTGCAAACCTTTTTCCATGTCCATTTGGAAAGCTTGAGTTTCATCCAGTTTTGCAGCCCTGCAGTCAGGGATTCTTTGTCTAAATCTCACAGCAGGGGTCCCCTCAGTCTCAAACCCAGGGCATGGTCTTCATCCAGTTTGGCTCTGTAAGTTCTGAAACTCAAGAGAAATGTGTTGCAAAAGTTCTGTTTGCAGCAGTTAGGTTCTGAAGAGTTCTGACTCATCCTTGATGGTTCTGGGGATCTGGTTCCCCTGGGGCCCGCATCTCCACTGTGGGCCACAGTGGGCCCCAGCTTTGAGCGCAGGAGCAGATGCAGGCTGGATCAGAAGAGGGAGAAAGAGGCAGGAGAGGAGGCAGAATCCTGTATGCTCTGTGGTTTTGTTCTGTCCTCACAGAGGTGGGGGGGGGGGGTTGGTGGTTGGTAACACCTCTGTGACTTCCATGTGGCTGCTTTGGCTGCAAAAAGGGGGGGCTGCTGAAGTCCCCCAGCTGTTATTCACCAAAGCTGCGTTTTCTTCTCTGGTCATCCTATCAGGATGAAATATGGACACTGGTTCCCACTGTCCAAAAAGTATGATCATGGCATATGGCATAACATTCCCCCTTTTTGATCTGGAAATAAAAGATGCAGTTCTTTGTTTTCAGATCAACAAATAAGTCCATAAAGCCATGATATCTGGAGCGGTGATGAGTCAGGTTCCTGTTGGCAGGAAGAAAGTTCATTTAGGGTTCATATCTTCTCCAGTGTTTGTCCCTGGAGGATTTGTTGCAGGTCTGGCAGAAGCTGACCCTATCTCATCATAAAACAGTTAATTTTCTCCAGAGGTTTTGCATCTGGTTGAAGCAGGTCTGGCAGGAAAGTCTGACCCTGATACACAAATATATACATTCCAAACAAAATTTCCTAACACCTTCATGATGCTGTTGTTCAACCTTCATCATTTCTCAAGTTGTGAAACAAAAGAAAGAAAGGATAAAACACGTTAAAGTATGTTAGAAATTATCAACAACTATCATACTCTTGGATATGATAAGTTTTACCATTAGCTTGGAATTGCAGTACTTTGTTATTGGTCAGAGAAGCCAGTAGCTCTGTAAGAACTGTTTTGCAGATCTGTTCTAAGTTTTCTTTTGTGGTTGTTTCTGTAGCTTGTTGATATCCCCCTTTACCAGTGTAAACCTTTGGTTTTGCATTGTGATGTGAAGGCTTATGACCTTTATCTGGGGGTTCTGGTTTTCGTTCTCTCAAGTCATTAATTCCTTCATCTTGGTGAACCACTGGGGAACTGAATCTGTGTCTGTTTCTGGTCCTGTTCTTTGTTTGTAGGTTAAAGACTCTAAGCTTGCTTTGAAATCTATCTGATTTGAGACGTATTTCCCAAACAAGCTGAGCATATCTGCGAGTTTCCTGCATAGAAAGGTTCTCTATCCTGCAATGCATTGCTACATCATATCGTACACTTTCATGTAGATTTTGGATGAACAATGCTTTAAATGTGGGATCTTCTTCGTCAATATCTGGAGAACTGCAGCCCTCAAAATAAACCTGTCTCAAGCGAAAGTAATATTTTCTGGGTGTTTCATGTTCTCCTTGGAGAACTAAAGATGCCTCAAGCGTTGCTAACGCCGGATCTCTGTAACCAGAATATTCTTCTCTTAAGGTTTGACAAAGAGCTGAATAACTTTCTCTGATTTTTGGAGGAAGAGATTTTATGAAAACATGGACGCTTCTAGCTGTTGTTTTCCAAATCAGCTTCAATTTCTCACGAGAAGAAGGAAATGGCAAGTCTTTTAGACAGTGCTCAACTTCTTGCAGATAATCAGCTATGTTGGAGTGTTGATTTTCTGGGTCAAAAATATCAATGTCTTTGGCCAAGGATTCAATTTGTTGAATTCTATGGTCACTCGGTAGACCTGGCCCGTCAGGAAGCTGGTTCTGCTCATTAAGTGGTGGGGTGTTTTGAGCTAACCTTTGATGACACAAGGGAGACTGGTTCTCCTCAGAGTTTTTCAAGGTGTGAACTTTGGCATTTGATGCTCGGTCAACGGAGTGTGAGAGAGATTGGTTTGCATGGCTGTTTCAAAATTTTAAACCGCTTGAGTTTACCAAGTGATCTACTTGTTTCTCTCTGTCTGCGACACTACACTGCACACTGTGGGCCACAGTGGGCCCCAGCTTTGAGCGCAGGAGCAGAAGCAGGCTGGATCAGAAGAGGGAGAAAGAGGCAGGAGAGGAGGCAGAATCCTGTATGCTCTGTGGTTTTGTTCTGTCCTCACAGAGGTGGGGGGGGTTGGTGGTTGGTCACACCTCTGTGACTTCCATGTGGCTGCTTTGGCTGAAAAAGGGGGGGCTGCTGAAGTCCACCAGCTGTTATTCACCAAAGCTGCGTTTTCTTCTCTGGTCATCCTATCAGGATGAAATATGGACACTGGTTCCCACTGTCCAAAAAGTATGATCATGGCATATGGCATAACACTGGTAACAACCTAGCAACCGTGGCAAACCATGCCCAGCAATCAGCATGCATAAAAATGGTTCCCTGCATACTTTGTACTTTTCATTTTATTATTATGAACATAGACGTTGGCCTCTTGTGGTCAATGATTTGATTAGTGTTTTTTAAAACTTTTTTTTGTCATAGCCATAAATAGGTCTACATTGTAAAACTTCTCGCGATCAACTGAAACTCCGCCTACGATCGACTGGTAGACCGCGAACGACTGGTTGGGCACCCATGCTTTAAAGTCATTTGTAGGAACAAGCAATTCCCCACTAAACCAGAGGGAGGCAGCAGTGACTACTGACAGCTTCAGCAAAATTAAAGAAAACAAAACACAGGAATGGTGAGCCATGCATTTAAACAAGAAAGCAGAGCGAATGAAGGATGTGAGAGCAGGACAGACACCAGAGGCTTAATGCCGTGGCTGAGCCCTCCATTGGTGTCCAAAGTCATCCATCTTTGGACCAGAATATCTGAGACACCTTATTTATTCACTACTGAACGAAGTTAGACAGAAAGCTATTTACTTACTTGAAATAATACTCAGCTGGGGGCATCTCTGCAGCTGGCTCATTGGCTACGGACCACATGACCACGGATGGATGGTTCTTGTCCCGCCGTACGAGCTCATCCATGACGGCTAGGTGGTGGGCCAGAGAGGCATTCCCGAAACTGCGACTAGCAAAGCCAAGAAGACCCATTTCACATTTAGAATAACAAACATATTTTCATGAATGATAAGATTGTTTCTAGTTGTTATTCCCTCCCCTGTGCCCCGAAAGTTAACTACTTGATATCATGAATGGCTGATTAATTCTTACAAACACCAAAAAGACGCTGCTGCATAAAGGCAACCTGCTGAAAATAAAGAGTGGGTTATAACAAGAAGCTTTGGAGCTGCAGGGAACCATATTTATCAAACTTCTGAGAATTAGTGGAATTAACTCCTACTCCTAAAGCTAAGAATAAATTCTATGAATCAAAATTTTTCCCTGTCTAAAAATCCCTCCTACTCCTGCAATGATTAAGGAGACCTCCTGAACTGTGGGTAGGAGCTGCTACTAGAGGATGACACCAAGGCAAGAGAGACGTACAGGAACGTTCCAGCAGCTGAAGACGCTCTGGCTTTGAAGTTAAACACAGCTGATCAAACAGTGTCGCTTGGACAGAGCAGGTATAATTTGTGTTACGGAGCAATAAGGGATATAATCTCACCACTAACCTCATGCAGCAGAGTTTAATGCTGGAATTAAAAGACAATATAATCCTTCAACAGGATGGATCAGAGAAATTATCAGAGGAAGCACAAAAACTGTGAAGAAGCCATTTTAAATTGAGCTATTTTCCACCTAACAAGCAGGAAAGAAGACTCTGCAGGCGGGTTCCCTATAAGGATAAATGACTGCAGTCTGTGATCATTAATGCTAACTACACTTCCTGCTAAACATGAAAATATCAACACGGTGATCATTTTTTTTGTTTTAAAACTCCAAGTTCCCTTTTCATCTCAGATGTTACGACTTGAACCCACTGAGCAGCTTAAGAGAAGCAAGCTTACATGTCTTTAATGCCCACCCCCGGGCTCTCATCTATCAGCACGATGCCATGGCGGTCACACATCTGCAGGATCTCCTCAGCGTAGGGGTAGTGGCTGGTGCGGAACGAGTTGGCTCCCAACCATTTGATCAAGTTAAAGTCCTTGACGACTAAAGGCCAGTCCAAACCTTTACCTCGAATCTACAACAGAAAGATACTTTATACCCACTCAACCTTTACATTTTCACATTGCCAAAACAGCATATTTGTACGAAAGAGGATTAGGGCCCCTGTAAAAAAAAAAAAAAAGTTAACTGATTTTTTAATTTTTATTTCAGTTTAGTATGGGAAAAAAGTCAGAATTCTGACTTTTTTCTCAGAGTTCTGACTGAATTCTGACAATAAAAAAAGTCAGAATTCTTAGATTAAAGTAAGAATTTAAATTTAAAAATCAGTTAACTTCTTTTTTTCCGGTGGCCCTAATCCTCTTCCGTACATTTGTGTGTATTTGGTTGGGATTATGTTTAGGGCTGGGTACCGAACTTCGGTACTTTTATGGTACCGACCGAAATGCTTCGGTTCTACAGAGTATCGAAACATGCCTCGTCTTTCGGTACCAAGTTTCGGTGATTGGCTGGAACACTTAAGGTGATTGCGTCATCCAGGAAAAATACACAGGTGGTCACGCCTACAGCCAGGGTTCATGTGTATCTTTTGTGAACTGGTTGCAGCGTCGCGGAACCCCTTTAAAATGCCCCCCAGGTCAAAAGTGCGGCTTCAGTTTATTAAGACTGATGCTAATAGTGCACAATGCAATACATCGTGCACGGAAATAATTTAAGAGCAGAAAGTCGCTCTGTGTTTGACTGCAAGAAGAGCGGACCGCAGCCAGCGCGACCATCCTCCTCTCAGCAGCCCGTGGGCAGAGCAAAGCCAGAGCGGAGTGAATCATGCTGCTTTCAAACTGGACGCAGCAAGAGCAGCAAAATCTCGTCTGCTGCTTCATTTTTGCTGCTTGTACCAGCTTCTGACGCGCTGCTGAAGAAGCTTTGCTGCTGTGGCTGCGCGGTCGCAAAGTGGGTCAGACGCGCGTTGGGCGGAGCTACTCTATCCTTTATTTGCCTTGCAGCTATATTTGCTGTGATCAGTGGGAATAAAGTAGTTTTATTATGTTTTTAAGTGGGAAAATCCACCTGAAAACGTAATCAGTGCAGTCAGTTCATCCTGCCTTCAATATTTCTGTCGGAGCCGCTCAGACCCCCCCCCATACCAGCGGTGCGCTGTCAGTAGGATCCCATTCAACGGGCTTGTTTGTCAGACATGGTAATTTTTCTAAAGGAAAACTGCTAAGTAAAAAGGTCCTCACAATGTAACAGTGAATATTAGACACTGAATTATTTATTTTTTTATGTAAGAGGAAAAATGTAAATGGAAAAACAGAGCTTAAAATAAAACTCAAGATTTGTACTTTTTTATGTTGTGTAATTTTCTTTTTTTTCGAATTGATATTATAAAACTGGTATCGAAAAAAGTATCGTTCAGGAACCGGTATCGAAGTGAAGGTATCGGTATTGGTACCGGAACCGAAATTTTTTTTAACAATACCCAGCCCTAATTATGTTAGAGACAAACATCAGTGTAATGCTGTGAAAAGAAGGGATATAGTTGACTTTTAAACGAAATAATCTGGAAAGTTTGTCGTTATTTTTTATGTCTGTAACCTTCTTCCCAGCAACTCCAGCTGAAGCACCTACTTCCTTCCATCTGCTGTGATTTCTACACGGCTCGTTTGCTAATGGGACTTCTTTATCATGGCTCTCTACCTGCGACTCCTCCACATAATGCTCAAGTTATAGATGTCCTGTTTATAGATTATTCCACCTCATGTGGATCTATGTAGTTCCTTTAGACTCAGAGGGACTTTTTCGCTGGATTTCTGTTAAATATTCTTTTCTGACCTGTTGGTTTAGTTATGGAATTCATTTTATTCTATTATTGTTGCAAGAAAGAAAATGTTTTAGTAATTAAAATGGGAAAAAAGCAATACAGAGAAAAAACATATAATCAAGAAAAATGTATTGAGAGTAACTAAATAGTGTTCATTTTTTTCCCAGTTTTTTTTTTTCAGATTGAGTTTTACAAATTGTATTCTTTTAAAATTGTGTCATACAATTAGAGTCTCTTCACCTATGGGGGCGGGCTTTCCTTTCCTTGGTAGTGAGGAGCAAAGGAGCATTTCTATTGGTGTGCTGGATGTTAAGCCGCTGTTACACTATGACGATTTAGCCAGCATACGCCTGATATTTGAAAAATTTGGTAAAAACGCTGGCATATGATGGATAAGTTATGGGTCAGTTTTGTATAAGTCATGAGCACGCTGTAGCATGCTGAAACACACACATGGCTACATACTAGAAGTACGTCGAGAAATTTTGAGCATGTTCACAATTTTGTTGACGTATGCCAGCGGATGCCAATGCATATGCCATAAGTTAGAGGTAAATTATCTGATTGTTTTTTTGATCTTCTTCGTGTCCTTTTTGTGCAGGCCGGGTGCCTCCGGGCGCATTGCTGCCCCCTTCAGGACACTTGCTTGTGCATCATTTCATGGGAATTCCGCTGTTGTGCATTAAGCATAGGTTAGGCTGTCCTTGAACTTAGGTTCTGGACTCGTTATGAATACACTATGTCTACGGCCAAAAATCTAAAGGAGTATTTTGAAGAAAAAAAAAAATTGAAGATAAAAAAAAAAAAAAAAATGCGATTAAGTAAAAAAAAAAAAAATATTAAATAGGAAAAATACATCTGATTCTGAAAAAATTCACTTTTAGATTGAAACAGATATTAAAAACAATTCGGATGGGTGTTTTTATGTACAGGTATCACAATTGGATGTGGAACGCAGAAACACCTTCTTCTATATCTTAAAAAAGCTCAATGAATTATTCCCTGTTTTTCTTTCTTCATTTTGTCTCAGTCCATCACATGATTCCAATATCATACCACTATAAAGTTTAAGGACATAAGAAAGAATATGTGAATATGTGCATGTGAATGACTCACGTCAGCATCTTCATGCTTATTGACTCCATGGAAATAAAACGGCTTGTTGTTGATGAGGAACTGGGCGTTGGTGATGTTTACTGTGCGGATGCCGACCGGGAGAGTGTAAACATCCTCGTATGTCGATCTCTCATCAGCAGCCACCAGGCGAACCTGTGGAGGAAAAGTCCAAAGAAACAAAACGAGTTTACAGATTAAAAATATGCATAAAACTTTATCATCTTTAGATGTTTACTATTTTTTGAAATCTTTCATTTTTGTGTCCTTAAATGTGACTGTAGCACTGCATTAACTTAGATAATAGGGTGAACACAAAGCATGCAGTCTTTGGTCATTTCAGGGGAAAACTTATTGCGAAAATCTAGGAAAAAACGTAAAACGATGGTTTGTTAATCTGCTTAAAGTTTCACTTCCCCGTTTAGCAGACCTCATGTGAACTCCAGCCCCACACAGAGATTAACCGCTTTAATGTCGAAGAACGACTCGCCTCCAAAGAGTACAGATATCCTGGATTCACGTGCATCAGGTACGGCCACCACAGGTTGACATCCACCACTTTAAGCACTCCAGAAGGCTCGCTGGAGGAAGCAACACAGTGACCTCCTTGGTCCATTAAAGTCACCTTCAGGGCAGGTGAGGCTGCTCCCTGGACCGACACATGGTACCGAACCAGCCCTGTAATCCGGAGGGATTACACACAAAGATGAGCATCAGAAGGAACGTTTTTTGCTTATGCGGTTAAGGCTTCCAGTCATCTTTACTAATACAGTCAAAGAATGAGTGTTCGATTTACCCGTGTTATCCAAGAAGTCTGTAACCACGGTGATGTCATCCACGTAGGCTTTAGGAGTGGTATATAACAGCACAGGGCGGTGAATCCCAGCATAGTTGAAGAAATCAAAATTGGTGTTCTGAACAAAGAACCCCTCAGGATACCTGTTAATTATCGAAACTCGTTAGCAATCCTACCAGTGGCAGCTCTACGGGGAAGCTAACGTTAGGGGTTAAACCAGAGCTGAGATTAAAGGTCACTGCATGTTGGAGGATCACAGCTTACCTCGTCCGGTCGTTCATGTGCTGAATGGTGCCTGGAGGGAGAGTGTGCAGAGTCAGAGTGTTGTTCACAGCGATGGTGATCCTGCAGGGCGTTGTTGGCTCTTTACGCAGTAAGGTGCCTATTTCTGCCTCAAAAGGCAGATGGCCGCCTTCGTGTTCGGTCACCTGCACCCCATTCACCCACTGGTGCACACACATAAAAAATACATGTTATTCCAAACACGGGTGGTTCTAGACAGGGGCCAACAGGGGCCCCTGTTCTGAAAACATACACTACAAAAATCTCGATATATATATTTTTATCAGTTTATTTTCCCTTGACTTAAGCAGCAATGGAAGGTAATTTGCCAAAATTATAAGATGATTTACTTTTAATACATACAACTCAGTTATGTTACTTCATAAGAATAACATTGTATAATCTTATTTTAAGGGGAAAATACTCATTCCTTTAGCTAATCATCTTATTTACCTGTTTAAATGAGAGAAAATACAGAGAAAAAAAGCGTGTTTAACATTTTACCCATCTTTAGATCTGTTTTTGCAGTCTAATGCCGAATTCATTTCTTATGATAGCAGAGGCTGACAGAAGAGACCATAACTGATTTTTTTCATGGGACCAATTAAATACATTTCCTTTATAGTTTATTTAATTATTTTAAAAAATGACAGCTGTAAGCTTCAGCCGTATTAGGAGGATCACATCTGTTATTTCAGGGGCCTCCAACTTTGGCTTTATGGCCTAATATGCCAACCAAAGCATATTTAGACAGTTTCTTTTGTGTGTGTTTTTTATTCTAGAACCATCATTGAATCCAAATATATTTATACATTTCGTGTTGTACTCACCACTACTGAGTAATAGTGAGCGCTTCCTACTCTGAGAACCACTCGTATGCTTTCATCGGCGACCCAGCGGGCAGGGACCGTCACCTCTCGCTCGTACCACGCCCAGCCAATGAAATCTCTCAGCGTGGGGTCTTGGGTGATGTCATTGTAGCTGGCTGGAACCGGCATGTCGATCACAGGGCCCGTCTGACAGAACATAGAGTAAAAAAATTAAGCTCGCATTTAGAGTCAATGTTGATTCTTTTGGTGGTACAGTTACATTTCTTTGCTTCCACTGAATCTCGGAAATGCTTTACTCACTTTTTTTAAAGCAAACTATTTGAAATGAGCGGTACAGGTAAGAAACAATTGAATTTTTTTTAATTTTAATTATTCTTTATATTTATTTATTATTTTTTATATTTATATTTATATACACCCAAGAAGAAAAAAAATTGTCCAGATGGTTTTTGTGAGCTGAAACTCCAGTCCTGGAGGGTAACGATGACATCACCATGGTTACAGGTGATATCAATCAGCTAATTAAACTTTGGACCAAATTAACTAATAGTGAGAGCACCAGCAGATGAGAACCCCTAATAAGACCATTCACCAAAGTTGCACATTTAGGATATTTAAAAGTAAAATTTAGAGACAAGATAAAAAGATCTGCGCTTCAACCTCAACAGGTTCCTCCAGAAAACGCCACATCATTTCCAACACTTCCTAGGGCAGATGTCAGCTAAAAAGTTGGACATAGTCTGGGTTACTTCAAACCAGCTACTGAGCAGGAAACATGGTAAATGGGGAGTAGCGGTCGATTCCTGGAGGTCGGCTCTAAGCCGCTCAGCGGTTCTGTTCCTCAGCTTCCTTCTCCAAGCAAACAGCTCTCTATCTGCTGAATCGGTCCATCAAACCCGTTTTACTAAGACCTGACAACTAAGTTTTTTAGACACCTTTTTTTCTAAGACATGACCATTTTATTTCTGAGGCCTGATAACTTTTTTTTGTAAGAATGGAGAGCTTTTTTTCTGAGACCTGACACTTTTACCCCTGAGTCCTGAGGAAGCGGTAAAATAGCTGTACGATCCATTGTCATGCCACACAGCTTAGCATCTTTAATATCAGCAGGGGGGGATTTACCATTAGACAATACTAGGCAGTGAACTAGGGCCCCCTGAGTTCCTGGGGGGCCCATAAAACGCTGTTTACATGTATTTTTAATACAACTATTCCTAATTTGTGCACATTAATTATGATTTTGATAAAAATTCTTTGGCTAAAATGCCATCAGAACGCTTATAATATTAAGTGTGTCTCAGCCCCCCCCCTCAGTGTCACTACATTGGATCAGTCCATTTGCCGCACATGTTCAGCAAGCTCCAAACAGACAGCAGCAAACCTTCTGAAAACAAACGGCAGGAAGAGGAAGTGCTATTGTCACAATATTTAGTGATTTTTCAGACCCCTCTAGCACTTTTATTTAAAAAAAAGGTGCCTACTGCCAAATAGTGACTTTTTTTCTGCCACTACAGTCTCTGGCGACAACATAAAAGCAGCAAACTCTGCTCTCCAGAGCCAGTAGATTGGTAACCCCGCCTCCTGCTCTCCTCTATCTTGTCTGCTGTCATGATTCATGCAGCTATTATTTCATCCAAATGAAAAATGGAGAAGAGAGAAGCAGATCATGGCTTGTCTACTGTGAAAAGGACTGTTATTTACTTTTGCCGTCACCTTTTTGGAAACACAGGAAGGAGCAATCAGTTGGCAGCTTAAGCCAGCACACACTGTATTTTTTTTTATCAATCGTGGCATACATCTACAGCTCACACTGTACACCGAAACCGCAGTGTTTTGAAGTTTACAGCTCACGATGCATCTTCTGCCCTTTTGGGAAAAATCATCCCAAAAGGACAAAACAAAAAACCTACCGTTTACCCCGGCTTTAGTGATTGGAATTTTTTTCCCCCTTTTGAGACAGCATGAAAAGCCAGCTGAGAGCAAAACATAGAGAGCAAAACAACAAGAAAAGGGACAAGAAGAGAGGGACAAAACATAGAACAAATAATGTATCTCTATTCTATTAAAAAAATCTGTATCTATATAATGCCTTATCTTTTATGTGTTGTCTTCTCTTGTCGGAAAATTTTGATCTTTCTTATTTCATATATTAATTTATGCTATTTACTCACTATAAAAGTTTTCACTCAGCCTGTTTCACCTGCAAGGCAACACCATTCTCTGTGTGAGGATGTTTATAGACCAGACATAGCTTCTTCCCATACCAAACCACAGTCTTTTACTGTTAACCAAAGTGACTCCGACTACTTTTCCATTTTTGTGAATAAGCGGGAACGAACGCTGCTCATGCAGAACAGGGCAGGATGCTTTGCCATTAGGGCTGTATGATGAACTGTTCTCTCTTTGCAAAGATATGAATAAATGTGCCAACTGAGCGAAATCCATCGATCTCCGTGTATTTAACTAGGGTGAATAGTTGAATACTTTTTCCCCCACTACACTTCTCAATGCAGAGGGCCCCCTGCCTGTCTTTGCCTAGGGCCCCACATTTCCTAAATCCGCCCCTGAATATCAGGTTTTTCTAATTGTTCTCTAACTTTCCAGGTTCAGAGCCAAATCAGAGTTACTGTAGAACCGGCCTCCAGTAGATGAATAACTATGAACTCCTTAAACTAAACTTTCTGGCTGTGGAAACAGCCATCGCATATTTTATTCTAATTTATCCTAACATTGCACCTTTTATAAGGAAATCTGGTTCTGCAGAGATTGTTGATGGAATGCAGAATATTTTATTATTCCAGCAGTTGGAGCTGATTATTATCAAACACTGCTCTGGTTCTGCAGATCCGCTCATTCGCTCACCTCTGCCAGTCGACTTTTGTACCAAGCCTTCTCGAAGCCCTGGTTCCTGTTGGGAGATCTGTCAGCGCGAAAAGCCCACAGCCCGTTCAGCTCCTTCACCTCCCTGGAGGAGGATTCCCTGGGAAACAGGAGGCCGGTGTCCAGCAGCAGCGCCGCCTCAAAGGCGGAAAACAGCAACAAAACACGGAGCATCCTGAGCTCCGCGGTTCACTGCAGCTTCTGAAACTTTCTATCTGCTCAGTAAACCGATCGACCGACCCCGCGTTTCCCTGTTGCCTACGTCACGTGATCAGGTGTGTGGTCACGTGACTTCCAGTTGGTTGTGTTGCCTTCAAGCTCTTTCAGAAAAAACTCACAGCTGTTTTGTTTTTTACCTATAGGTCAACTTTAAAATCAAATACTAATTAAACAAGGCGTTACTGAAAGCATACTATGTTATTTTGATTAGCAGCATCTTATCAGCATCAATTTATGTTTATAAAATTGGACATTAAAAGAAAATTAAGTCTTTAACTCCAAACCCAACTCCAAAAGTTGTTTTAACCGCATTTCACAACAAAAACATGAAAATAAGCTGAACTTTCCCTTTTTAAATTTAAAAGTTTAAGAACTGGTAACTCACTTGATAAAGTTAAAGATTACAACCACTTTGGTTTTCTAAACTAACTTAAATTATTGTCCCTGCATTTAACACTTAATTTGTCAACAAGAAATACTTTTTCCACTAAAAAAATAAAAGTTTTTGTTTTTTTCTACCGTGTAGGTTTTTGTCTAGACTGTTAACGGTAAAAGATTAATTAGATTATTGAAACTTAACTGCTTAGAATTCAAATTTTTCCCCCTCAATATGCTGCAGTGACGCAAAACTTACGCAAGATGTCGCCAGACACAAGCAGAAGTTACAAGGAGGATATAAACGGTTTAAAGACCATCAGTTGTTAAAGATAAGAATAGTGTTAAATCTAAGATAACAATCTGGTAAATTCAGCAGCTGTACTAATTAAAATTTTTATTTTTTTCATTGGGGGTGGGGAGGTCTGGAGGCAATTCGAAAACAGTTTTTATTTACCTGTAAAAAAAAAAAAAGATAAAAAAAAAAGAAGAAGAATTTAATGAGTGAATAAACTGTAACCTCTGTTGGACCACTACCAGAATGTGGTCCACCTCTTGCCCACGGAGTAGCCAGCCTCCTTAGGAAAAACCAACGATATAAAGGGTGCAGAATAGATGGATGGATTCAAATACACGTTAGAATGTACAAGCAGAAATAATAGGCAGGAATATCATTTTAACACCGTGGTATAATTCAATGAAGTGCCATTCCATTGATCGATCTTATTGACAGTTCATTTAAACTCATAGAATTCTTTCTCGGCTTTACCCAGCTTTTAAGCATAGTGTTTAGCATAGCATCATGTTTCGTAGGGTTAGTGATATGGGCTACATTTAACTGTCTAACAGATTTTTAGTTGCAGACAAAGATGAAGTCTTTAGCTGACATTAATGGGAAGACTTTTAAACTTGAGAATCTTGCACCAGATGCCAAGCACGGTGGTGGTAGCATTTTGGTGGTGGACTGTTCCATTCCAATTGGCGACATAAATTTGATAACATCTTAAAATCACAAGTCGACCTCTAACTGAGGAACAGTTAGACGGTTAAAACTTGGTTAGAGTTCCAGCAGGTTGATAAACGCAGGCGCACATCAAATATGGTTGGGTTTGGTTAAATCTAGAAATATATTTAAGCTTCTGGAAAAGCCCTAACTTCAGTCAACATAAACACAAATGCTACAGAGTTTAGAAGCTCAATAAAGTCAAGAAAGCAGACTTATTTTAAACAACTGTGTCATTCCTGATCAGCAGTCTGGTCAAACCAGCCTGAGTTATGGAGATACCTTATAAGTGCTGATCCAAACGAATGTATCAAAATCTCTTTTATTATTATTTTATTCTTGTAATATTAAACCAACCTAATAAAGGAAGAGTTTATTCCATAATTTAAAACTTTAATCTAATGTGACATTTATGAGGGCATGCTGTAATATTTTGATACACAGGTTAGATTTATTTTCTTTGTAAATCAGGTTAGAAAAACTACATTCTGTCATTTTTAGTCTCTGATATCTAAAGAATATGATGTGTAACAGGGATATAAAAGTTTTCCCATCCCTTCTATTAAATGAAAAGCAGTTGCATTTGTCAACCAAATAGTTTATTTTTGCGAGCAGCTTTATAGTGAGAAATAAATGAACTCTACACCTTATAACCTTATTGTTAGTTATTTACTATCTTTTTTCTCCTGATTCCCAGATTTCCTTGCAGATAATTTTACTTGAATGATTTTCTTAAAAGGTTTGTTGGTTCAACCAATCAAGATATTTTTCTTTAATCCAGGGAAATGGTTGGAAGGTTATTGTTTCAAGACTAAATAAATCCAGTTTGTAATAAAGGGTGACAAACTCCTCCAAACAGCCCATAATGCTGCCATCTGCCTGAAACGTATGTGAGGTTAATGGTGAGTTCAAGCCTAATTTCCTGTGTTATGCCTGTCTTCAGCCATTTTCCCACAGATTCATCAGGAATGTTTCAAAATAAAAGTACATCTGATGGAGTTGGGGAGCTGTCCATCATGGTTTGATTCCCATCTTCGCTCAGAGGGGATTTTTATGTCTCTTTTTTTAGCTACATAATTTTTTGAATAAAATCTTCTTACTGCCAAGAATGGATATTATACAAAAGAGCTCTGTTATAGATGTTTTATAGTATGCATTAGAATATTTGCAGCTGCTATCTTTATGGTTTAATTAAAAATAAATATAGATATCTATATACGGTATACATTTTTACTTGTAGATTATCAAAAGTCAATGTTTATTGTTTACAGGGTATAAGAAATATATAAACTGAACGTTGTTTTGCAAACCCCTTTTTTCCTGGAGAGACTCTACATACTCATACTTAGCATCAAAGGTAGAGCAGAAAGACCATAGAGTGATTTCTTTACAGCAGTATATACAAAGAACTGATACTGTTTTAAAATATGAATAGTTTGGTAATAAGTAAAATATAATAAAATCAGAAAAATAAGAACAGAGGGGATCTTTGATCGTTCATCTTTGCACAGTCTCTTTAGATGGTCCAGAATTTCTCTAAACCACATGTTTTCTATAGCATTGGTGTATAGGGACTTAGATAGCAATGAAAGATAGAGTGACTATGGATCTAGAGAACTATTTCTATAGAGAAAGATAAACATTCTCCATTTACCAGCATAGGCCAACCTCCTCCTTGTGTTTCAAAGACTCCATGATGCCATGACTCTAAAAGTGTTTGCAGGACCTTTGGAAGAGACACAGGCCCACAGCATCACAGATCCACCGCCGTATGTGAAAGAGAATGAGATGGTTTCCCACATGTTCAGCCTTTGTTTCGCCCCATTCCCACCCGTAGTATTGACCTCATCTGATCTAAGCAAACATTTTCAATTACATTCGCAGCAAAGTTGTATATTTTTAAACCTTTATTTTTGTCGTTTTTTTTTTTTTCTCAATCCAGACATAATAGTTGACATTATGAGGTTGTTGTTGTCACCTAGTAAACCATATGATGCTCCTCTTTGTTACGGTTCTAGATGTCTTCCCATCCATTCTATCTACCAGCGACTGAAAGAAACTGGACTCCTGCTGTCATATGTAAATATACCCCAGGGCAACATAAAGGGATTAATATTTCATAGAGCTCAGATCAAATCAGTGCTCCTTACTTTAAATGATTAGTAAAGGTGTCAGTTATTGCGGTATCTTGGATTGTTTCCTCTCACTAGAGAAACGTATTCATGTCAGAGGACGGATTTTTCCAAATATTTTAATATAAAGACGAAAGATTTAAAAAAGAGGCTGTTTTGATTTTTGCACAGCTTTACCATGGGTGCCAATAAATCAGCAGAGCTCTGTAGGTTTTTTTAGTTTTATGTGAGGCTGAATGTATAGCTCCCCTCACAATGAGCACAATTGTTTAAATCTGCAGGTCGCTCAGATCATCCTTATCGCTCTGCAGAAAAACAAAGGAAGCAGCTTCCTGTAAACTAACAGGAACTTTTGATCATATCAGACATGAAAAATAGCTTGTTTATATCTGGTTACTAACGTTGTTTACCTGAAGGGGGAGAGTAAACATAATGTTGAGCTGCTGAGAAGAAAAAAGTACTGGATGGGGGGGTGGGGGTTAATTTAACTCACAATGACATCAAAGCGTACTTTTTAAAAGTTATTCCATGACTCATATTTTTTAGTTTATGACCTGTTTCATGGGAAGTTTCATGGGTGTCCTTTGTCGAAAAAAGAAGAAAGCAACACAAATACATCCAATTGTTTTAAACTGGTCAAAGAAACACAGCATATATCTTTGTTCCTATAAATAAAGCTTTGAATGTGACTTTCTGTTAAGTTTCTGGATTGATTTGATCTTTTTTTTTTATCCCTGCTGTCATTTACAAACTCTTTATAGCTGACCTGCTGTTAGATTTTTTTTCTCACACAATTTTAGATAGCATTTATTCCTTAGAAAAGACGGGTAAAAATAGCTTGAAAGTAAATCTTCCATTTATTATTTATAAGCAGAAAGGGGGGGACACGTAAGGCCAGAGATGGAGAATAAAGGAAGAAATAATTCCCAGAAGGCAGGTCTGTTGCTAATAAGCTTTTCACAGCTCTGCAGTGGCCCCTTTTTTACCTTCACATCTGCAGAGAAGGAAAACGCTGACACTTTTATTTTTGAAATATATCAAGACTCCCACTGCTGACGTTCTCTGATGTGTGAGTAATTCCGGACTTTTCCTCTCAAAAGTTCATGTTTGTGTAAAAACAGAAACACAGGGTATGACATAGTGCTCTAAGTACAGTGAGTTCCCCACACAAAGTGTGTAACAGATAATGGTGTTGCTATAATCTGTATTTTGTGCAAAGTTAATATCGGGAACATTCTATCCTCTGATAACATCCTGGCAATCAGGAGCTATTTGTGTTTGAGCTTTTATATGAACCAGGCAGCACTCTAAAAAATGCTGGGTTGAAATTGAATTTATTTCAATTAAAATGCAGTTATGCTGTTATAATGTGCACAGCTGAACATGATGACATCTGTTACCAAAATGTAAAATGAGGCAACATTACCAACATTTCATCTCATGCATTTCGAAAGCTGATAAATAAAACCGTAAAAACGCTTTTTGAACACCTTTTTCTTCAGTATAATGTAAGGACCTTAGTACATCTGCATTAACATTCCACAGGTGTACC